TGTTTCCTTTCTCTGGCGCAGATTACCTCTGTGAGCTTGGACAAATCACTTCGATATTTAAACACTTTCAAAACTCTGTCCCCGAGCCAATTCCCCATCTGTAAAACTTGGGGGCTATAGAATTCAAATGTTTTGGTTAGGGGAATAGTATATGCACTTTAGATTGAAGCACTCAGCAGCGTACTGGAGTAGAGTTCCTGAGAAAGAGCAATATTCCACGGCAAAATAATCTCTTGTGGCAAGTAGCCGAATTCCCAGAACTGGAGTGTTTAAAACTAGACAGGTCAAAATAGTAGAAAACATACAGCAAATGATCTTGCTTAACAAAGAGGCGAGGTGTCGGCTGGCCTTTCCATCTCTTAGCGCTGTAATTGAGAATTTTGTTGCTTGTAGGAAGAGTAACAACTTCTTTTCATCAACCCTCTGTTTTCTGGCCACGCAAGAGAGTTCTTGTGTGAAAATTCCAGTGGAAGGAGTCTCTGTCATGTTCAAATAAGGATACTGTCAGCAGCAGTAGCATATGCCTCTTCATACTGTCCTGCCAGTTGCTTGCACCCAAATCTGATGCGTCTGCTCCACCAGTGAGACCACACTTCAGCTTTGATTTTGATCACCCTTATTTCTGTAAGGGGGAGGCTGGCAGGCAGCAGTGGTGAGTTTATATTGTGGATTGATACCATTAATTCATTGCAAATGGGTAGTACAAGTCTTAGGTTGGGAGCCAGTATAAATTAGTGCCAGTGTGGGCAGTGATTCAGACTGATGAGCATCCTTTGGGCAGGAGCAATGGAAGCAGGACCCCCAGCTGCCTTTACAACAGATGCTGCAAGATTGCATGAAGATTTTTAAGAAGCAGTGAAGGAATGAACCCACTGAGCCAAGGACCGCCTTGCGGGTTTATAATATAGGACTGCCTTTGGCGGGCGCCTCACTGGCGTGTCCTGGCCATGGTGGCATGGGCGCGAGTGCTGGCAAGTTTGGGCTCACGCGGGGTCAATATGGTGATGGGTTAGACCCCGCTGTGGGTAACCTGAACATGGCTTGCAGTCTGGAAAGTTGCTCTTCCCTCTGTGTGGCTCAGGTGACCAGCCCAAGTCACCTGAGAATTTCATCATTTTGATAAGCGTCCAGGTTTCAATGCTGATTGTCACCATCTAAGAGCCTGAAGGTACCCGGAGGTCCCCAAAGCAACTCATTTCACCTCTTCTTAGTGACAGAATTTCTCAGGTGCATTTTAAGGTGCAGGGCTCCTGCCTATCAGACATGTTAGTGTTTTGACTGAAGACGCTGTTTCTTCTCCTCCTGTCCATATGTATCACTTCTTCTGCTGACTGAGTTGCTTTAACTTCCCTGCTTGATTGAATGGAGCAGACTAAGTGCCAACCGTTCCCTGCCAGGATTTCTTTGCTTAGTATGGAGATAAGTCTAAAAGCCTAGGTACCTTTTTCTGTTGGGTTTAAACCTAAGTAACTTTTCTTGACACCTTGCTTCAGTTCATGCCGTGCTTTGTGTTAGATGCACTCCTCTGTGGGGAATTTAAGGAGGGTATTTCAAAGGAACCAGATCTTTAATCTTTCTTGTGGAGTTGGCTGCCACACAGAAGCTAACTGGAAACTGTGAGGTGTTTTGCACTTGAAAAAGCCTTTCCATTTTACTATCTTTGTAAATCAAGCAGCATAAGCTATGTGTTCGCTCAGCATCATATAAACTAGAGAAAGGACAAATTTGCTGTATGCAGTCACTCCAGTTACCCTTTTGCCAAGATAAGCCTTTTCCCTGCAAAACGTCCCCAAGATATTTATGAAGTCTGTAGAGAAAAACGGTCCTTTAAAACTAAAAAGTCCAAGGTTGGAGTGCTATAGACATCCTGTGTTGCACTGAGTAAGTTGCTTCCAGAATTTTAAAGGGGTTTAGTTGCAAAAATGAAGACAGGTACCTCTTAAGATTTTTAAGACGTTACGCATCTGTATACTTTTGGGAATCTCTCTCTGAAGCCATCTCCATTTTACAGCACCGAATGCCTATTTGGTATTCATCGTTCTCAGCCGTCCCAAAGAGATAACAGTGCAGCCCTACCCCGTAAAGGTGCTGTGACAATGAATGCACTGAAGGCTGTGAAGTGCTCTGGTTTGCAGTGCTGACCCCCCTATTATTGACTCAGGGGGAAAGTTATTCGCAAATGGCAGCACGGTAAAGCTAATATCTGACGACGATCCCAGCTGTCAGTAGAGAGGAGGAACTTAATTTACCCTGCTAGATTGTCCTCTGAAAGAGCCCTTTTCTCGGTTGTTAATAATTTCTTTGGGCAAAAGTTAGTCTATAGGAATACTTCTTCGTAATACTTCTTCATCTCCACTTTTCCTTGAGATGTTCTTGATCAGTTGCCGGCTGATTTAGTGACGTTTCTTTTAACCTCAACTCATCCGGCAGTCCTATGGGTAGCTTTCGTAGCAGTGGTGGCACAGATGCCAAGGTGGGAAAAGCTCTCAGTTCCCTGGGTCTGTTCAGGGAAAGAAGTTTTTTTCTTTCTCTTTTCGCTCCAATTGTTTAAGTGGGTGGTGGTGTCATCTTTTTGGAGATAGAAGCAGCCCCAGCCAGTCTGTGTTATGCCCCAGAGGTGGTCATGAATACTGGGAGGTGGAAGCAGTTGAAGAAGGGTTGAACCAAAACGTGAGACTAGCAAAAATCTGTTAAAAAATTGACCTCCTGTTCCTCTTGTTTCACTTTCTTCATCAGATGCACATCCACAGGTTAGCCAGGATGCAGTTTGGATGAAAAGTGTATAAAGGCAGACTGACGTTTGTCTTCGGGATGCCTTTCAGGTCCCCAGCCTGAGATGTAGCAAATGGGGCTTTATTTTCTGAGGATGCTGGGCCTTTTGTCCTCTGAATATTGGGTCTCTTTAAGATGCCACAAACCTGGCACCCACAACAGTTAGCTCTGAGTATCTGGTTTATAGGATGATCTCTGTGCTACACACCTCCTTCCCAGACTTTCTGATATTTCTCTGGTGCAGGTATACTCCTTGCTTCTATTTAGTTTCTAGCAGGGGCTATATTTCTTTTACTGCCTTCCCATCGGTGAATAGTTGCCAATTCAGCTTTCACTAGAAACTGCTGTGCCAGCTCTTTGATATTCATAAGCTGTGGGTTTTTACGTCTGTTTCCTGACCTAGCATGACTCTACTAATAGTGCGAGAACTTCAGTACTGCTATCTTGGCAGCCTAATATAGAAGGTCAGTCTGTAAATATAGCTACAATTCGCTTTGCCTCAGCAAAGACAGTAAGTCAAACACAATGTAAACAAGGTGGTTGGATCACTTCCCCCACCAGCACTGTCTGTAGCTGAGCAGGGTGATTTAATGGGCGTGATTAAATCTCATGCTCCGGCTTGACAGCTGATTAGCTGCAGGGGGCAGGAAGGAATTTCGTTTCTGTTCCAGGGCTGCGCACTCTCCCAGTCCTCCTTCATGCTTGTGCCAAGGATCTCAAAGTGCTCCACTTTTTAAATTATGCTTCATCACATCCCTGTGAAGAGGGGAGATGAGAGAAAGTCAGGTCTGCAACATAGCTGTGGGGAAACTGAGGCACTAGGAGGTGGTAACCTGCTCAGGAGGAGAAAGGCAGTTGCCATTAGACCTCGGAAAAAGAGAGCTGACCAGTCAAGCAATGCTCTCTCGGAGCTATTATATGTCTAGCAAATGCATGCCTTTCAGCCGTCTGTATCTTTAATACAATAAATGTCGTTTTAAATATATTTAATATACTTTTATGTATCATATATTAGTGAATAGTTGCTGGAGAGACAAACATCCTGCTCCTAAGGAAAATTTAATTTCCTTATTTTGTCTTTCGTTGCTCTATTCCTCTCATATCTAAGCAGAATGGCAGGTATGTGGTTTCTCTCTTTGTATGGAAAAACACTTTGCTCTGAAAGAGCCTGAGATGTTGGCCGCTGCAGAGGCAGAGAACTGGTTCAGCTCAGTTAAGGACCTGCTGCTTTGTCCCTAGAGGGCAAATTGATGAATTTAATATGTGGATTCACCTTCAGTGGGTGTAAATTGAGGTAGCTGCACTGACTTTGATTGCATTATCAGGGTGTACAGCTGAAGAGGTGGCCTTGCAACATGAACCAGGGGAAAACACTCTCCTCACTAAGGCATGCTTTGGTCCAAAGAAAAGACCGTAGACGCATTGACGCAGCTATCACTGCAGCTCTCATAGACATACTAACCTAACTTGCCTGCGTGTTGCTAATGCTGTTGCTGAAGAAGCATGGAGAGCAGCAGGTATTAGCCGAGTCTTTACTCTTCTTTTTAGGATAGAAGGAACAGAGAATGGGACTTTCCTAGCTTAGCTAAAGCCTAAAGCCCAAGGGGGAGTGGTATATTTAAGGTCTCTCAGGGTAGGGCAGGCCTACAGGCAGGGCTTCTTCTGTGGTGGATGATTTAAGCGTCGTGTTTTATGTGCATAGATCTTCTGGAGTTTAGTCTTGTAAATCCAGAGTGGATAGAAGCATTTAACATGCAGCCTTGAGCCAGGAACCTGATGGCCAGAGGAAAGCTGGGATTCAGACAGGCGCTAAACTCCCCTCCTGTGGGGCTTCCTGCCCAGCCTGCCACCGTGTTAGGAGCAGAGGTGTCTAGCTGAAGTACTCTGAAGCTGAGGGCTGAGGCCAAAGACTGGCTTACTTGGCATTTCAGTGACTGAGCTGGGTGTCTAAAATAAGCTGTCTGAATCTGACCCTTTGTCTAGTCTGAAAGCTTAATTGTAAATAAACACTATCTTAATCACTTTATAGTTTCTAGCGTTCTCTCACTGTACCTCTCTGTGCTGGCATTTGCAGAGCATTCATCATAGTGGTAAATGAGTGTCTGTTTGGTCTGCAAATGGTATAATTAAGTATCATTGGAGCCCATAGTATAATGCGATAATTCTCATTCTGACCAGCTGAAATAACTCACTCTAACAACTGTGTTCTTCCTTCTCCTCTCTTTCAGTTCCCAAGAAGCTTCTGCATGAAACCCAGCCAAGACCAACCAATTACCAAGGATTTCAGAAGCCACATTTTCCAGTGCGGCCGAGGGCATTTGATCCCAATGTTATAGGGGACGGCGTGTTCCTTTCTGATGTCTCTCCTTCCAATATAGGGCGTGCTCTCCCAGGTAGCTATGCCTATTGTGATGCTGGCCCTAACCTAGCTGTGATGTGGTAACCCTTCCCCTCTGTCTTCCCTTACAGAGGCTACGTACTGGAATTCTTATCTGGGTTTCTGCATTGTTCCCAAACCCCATCAATTTCACAGTGGGAAGCAGAGGCTTCAAGGCATGACCACCAACTGACTAAAGTGAACTGTGAAACTCGCGCTGGGTTTTGTGAAATAGCAGTCATGGCCACCATGCATGTCAAAACTCATCACAGAAATACTTTGCAGGTCCATCTAATACAGTAGCAAAGAAAAACGAGGGTAGAGAATAGATCTGTATCACTGGGGGCAAAGAAGTTTTCAACTGAGCTTTGAAATATGATACTATTTCCATAACGTGCAAAGTCGAGAGATATGAATGAAGTCAAAGCTTGGCTCTCTAGGGAGAGGTGACTAGGAGTAAGAGGTGGCATATGGTAATGAAAAGCACAGGTAAGCATATATTGGGTTAGCTGGTGTGTTTTTGCATTGTTTTTCCCAACAGGCAGGGAGAGGGTATATGACATTACTCCTGAAATTCCCATTCTATGCTCCCAGAGATTCAACTCAAGGTGGGGGGAATGAGCAGAGCTAATTTTGACTCTGTCTGTACTCTTGGCAAAGTTAGTCTATAGCTTGGATAATCAGTCCACAGATAACTGAGAGTCAGCAATAACAGATTTGTCGGTTTGGAGGCCTCACTGAAAAATTGTCAGGAAAAAGAATTTTGGGTCAACCTGAAATAAATTTTGTGATCCTGGTGGTTCTTTTAACCAAGATAAAATACTGAACTCATTTTCATTAAGATTCATCTAAACATTTCACTTCTACAAGTGACACCTTTTGTTTAGTTTTCACATTGTTTATCCATTCATTTTAAAAATATGCACCACTTTTCAAACAAAGATGTCATTTTGAAATTAAAAGCTAAAAAAAAATTGTTTTTAAAATATCAAAAGGAAATATTTGGACATTTCTGAAACCTCCCTTCCCCTTTTACTTCTTTTTTAAAAACTGTCTGGTAGAGTTTGTCTGACTGCATGAATAATCTCTTTTGTGCTAAAACTGCATTGTTAGAAGAATGTACTGCTATCTGAAACAATTTTGCTCAGCTTTGGTGTAAAGTCCCATAGAGACTGCTTGAGTGGCTGGGAACAGCTCAGAAAGGGTGAAGGTGGTGAAAAGAAAATCAATAGGTGAACTGATTAGGCAACTATAATGTCTTCAGAGCAAGCAAGGGGTAAAGGGGATGTCTTTTACTATGATCCTGGAATGAACGGCAGACCGGGGAACTATGTGGCATAGCAACACATGGTCCCTGTGATTTTATATTTGTTTGTTTTTTTCCTCCTGCATAACCCCAGTCATTTTCTACTTTCCCTGTCTGTGCTTGTACAATCCTACAGATCACAAAACCAGTTCTGTGGTTTTGTGGTGCTCTTTGCTGGCTTATGGTGTATTCAGACAAGTATTCATTTAGAAACTTGTTTGATCACATGTGTCCTTTGGACAAGTCAGAGGAAAAAAAGAGATTCTTCTTACAACTCACATGAGAGAAGTTACGCCTTTCTCTCTCTCCGGAAAGACACCATTATTGCACAGCATGGTTTGCATGGGATGGCCAAAACCCAGCAGAAGTGGTCTCCCTCTGAGCCTTTCCTGGCTGATCTAGCACATGCACATAGACATCACGTAGATGTCTATGTGTGAACCACTGCATCAAGCTCTAAGTGTTTGCTGCAGCGAACGCATCTAGGATCTGTCAACTGTGTTGTGTAGGGCAGGATTCAATTGCCTCATCATAGATGCATACTTAAGATGCTCTGAAGTATCCAAGACATCTGCAGGAGCCTGGCAGATATGAGCTAGGATCTCTGGAAGACCTCACTTTTTTGGGCTGGTAGAGGCCAGGTGGGAAACTGCAGAGTGTTTCAAACGGCAGTAGACACTCCTGTAGGTAGCTTCTAATATTTGCTGATATGAGCTTAGATGTGTATCTACCTACAGATACGATCACACAGATGCATCCATTTAGGAATCCCAACTCCAAAGTAACATCAAATCCAAGTTGCCTGTAGCAGCTGTGCAGACAACAGTGTTTTACCTATGTTGCATGTTGGCTAGTGGTTTCATGATTAGAAGGACCTTCTCGGAACATGTCTGCAATGGCAGTGCTGTGCAGCGCGCAGCTGACTGGATGACTGAGCTAGCTCTGGCATTATGGTGCTGCACTGGAGCTACCTAGCCCTGCTGTGAGGCCAGGCTTATTAAGTTAGGAGGCTCCATAAGTCTAATGTGATTGGTCTGCATTCAGTACTCAGGCTAGTGCCTCCTGATGGCCCTGTACTGTGCCCCGTGGGTGTAACAGCCCACTCTCAGCTGGCTTGGGGCTCATTGTTGCACACCCATTGCATGGTGGAAGTCATCACGGTATTTGTAAAGTTTCACAGAAGAGCCTTTTTCTTCCCAAAATCCTGCTTAAAACTTGCCTCTGCTGTGATTCTTGCAATTGGGCATTACTAGGTAAATGGGGAGCTTTTACTGAACTCCCTTCACTTCACTATGCTATGGGTGTACGCTCCATCAGTCCATCTCTGTTTTTGTCACCCATTGCACCCTCTTCTCTGTTATCTCTCTGAACAGCCCCTCAGTCTGGAACTGGGGTGCATAGGTGCTGTTGACATAGCAATCCTGCTAATCTATAAGGGAAGTTACCTTTGTGGCCAAATCTAGCCTATTAAGGTTCCTTTGATATTTAGGAGTGTCAGTACACAGTAAGCCCCTAGCCGTCATTTCCACCAATGGTCAGCTAACCAAACCCTGGAAGCAAGCTGGAGCCTGGACCCTTTCTAATCCTGGCCCTGCCTGTTTCTGTCTTCCAGTCTCCACCAAACTCCCTTCTCCAAAATCCAAAGTAGGGATAGAAAAGGGGAGCCGAAACACACTAGTGACTGAATCCCAAAAAGACTTTGCAAAGGAGGTTGGAATATATCTTAATGCCATCGCATAGAAGGAAGCAGCATAATTAGTAGCATGGGCAACAGGGTAGGATTGAAACTGTAGAAGGTTGGCCCATATGTACCATGACCTATAGGCTCAATGTAGATGTTCTCTGAGTTAAAGAAGTTACTTTATTCTTGGCAAACAGCCCTGTGCAGGTGCTCAGGCCTCAAAGGTAAGAATAGCTGGTGTGATAAATCATAACCTTTTTGCTTTCAGTCGACTTCTTTATCCGATTGCACTGCTATTGCCATTTCAGAAGAAGGGAAATTTAGTCACAGAAAATTTGCAACCACTCTAGCAAAGGTGAATAACAGAAAGGTTTGCACTGAGGGCAGTGACCCAGTTTTTAGAAATGACAAACATCCCCTGCTTCCATGGATTTCTTTGCAGAAACAGTCGTAGAGAAAAATTGAGCTGCTTGTACAGACATGGATTTACTGGGCAGTGAAAATAAGGAGCAGATTAGAGGGCATGTTAATGTTTCTAGTGCCTACATGTGAATTAGAAGTTTTTCCAAAGCCTTACTATTGATTTCCT